ATACTAAGAATGGCATTTTAAGTGATATATTTCAAGCTAATAAAATCCTTTGAAATAAAGTACTTTTGGAAACGTGCTCAAATAAAAATATTGAGTATTTACTTATTTATAAATATTATTTATGTAGTTAGTTATTAATTTTTTATTCAAGTTCTGTTCAATCCTCAACTTTAAAGGAAATTGAGCCACCCCAGTGCTGGGATTGCAGGCATTCGCCACCATTCCTGGCCTCTTTCAGGCAATTTAATATTTTGGGGGGTCAAGGAGATAGCTTGGTAGTCTAAGTGCCTGCTTGGCAAACTCAAGAACCTGGGTTCAATCCCTGGTACTGCATGCTATGTTAGCCCAGTGCAGAGCTGACCCCCAAAACCGAGCATGGTGGCACTCTCCTGATTTATCTATGTATGTAAGCAGGATGCTTTGGACAATTTATTATGCATTTCTGCTGGTCTATGGAAAGAAGCAATTAATGCTTTAATTTGTTTTGCTTCCTTTTTAAAAAATTGTTTGTATTTTTTCTCTTCCTAATTTCTTATACATTTCCTTTTCTTTCTTCTTCAATTTTACATGCATATATCTGGTACTATGAATAACTGTTTGGAAGGACCACATTATGTATTATAACACATACTGTGAAATTCATATTACTTTCTTAAGTGAAATTCGGTATCATTTGCAATATTTTTCTGTTTTAATTCTAATTTGTACTCTCATTAAAAATAAACAAATAAAAATTTAAAAAACAAAGTAATAAACACGTTATGAAAAATAACTGAGTCAATTCTTGACACTCAGTTTGACATTTTAAAACATATCATTGGTACATGATAAATGAATGTCAATGATAGGTTTCAGGTTCACTGCATGAGACAGAGGCTGTTGAAAGAAATCAATAATTGACTCCATAGAGCTGTCTGTGCACACAGTTTTCTACAGTTTTCGGCTTTGTGATCAGTGAGCCAGTGTGGAAAGATGCAGTTATTGAATGTGAGAGCTACTCAGACCCAAATTAGCATGAACCTGAGAAATTTAAACACTTTGTTAAAAATGTTCAGCCAATAAAATGACAATTAATATCTACTTTTACAGGACACTTTTAAGACTAAAATTTAAAAATATATTTACAAATAATGTCGGTGAGCTTTCTAGTCAATATTAGCTCATTTTTACATTTAAGTTCCTTTTTAACAATTTTACTTTGCAAAGCAATTTTGCAATCCTATAGCATTAAAGTATATAAATTAACACTGATAATATTTTAATAATTCTAGTCGCATTCTTAGGATTACTACCTTGCTTAAAACCCTACTATTCTTCATTGTTATGATCAAAATTTGACACTTCTCAACATGATCCACTGAGGTGTACAACATGAGATCTGTGAACAGGATGGACACACATCTCATGGTTCCTCTTAGAGGAAACAATGAAGGAAAGCATTCCTGATCATTACTGTTCCCACTGTGATCTACAGGTAAAGAATAGTAACATCACTACGTAGGAGCTTGCTAGAAATGCAGAATCCTCAGACCCAACGACAGCCTACTACATGAGAATTTGCATTCAAACAATATTCCCAAGTGAATCATGCATATTATCCAGTGTAAGTAGGTAAATGAATGCAAGTATTTATTTATTT